AAGCAGGAGCTCTTGCCACAGGAGTGAGAATACATGACTACATTTTGAACAATGGGTTCACTATAAAGAGAGGAATCACAACTGCTTTAGTAGACATGTATTCAAAATGTGGATCTATTGAGAATGCAAGCTGTGTATTCGATAAAACAGAAGATAAAGATCTTCATACTTGGACTGTTATGATATGGGGTTGTGCCATTAATGGATATCTTCACAAGGCTCTTGAGTTTTTCAACAAAATGAAGTCAACAGGTTCAAGATTTCACTTCCATTTACAATTCTTTCTTTGTATTATTCTATTAAGAGCAAATTGTATTCTAAATTCTAATAACCATTTTTCATTATCCAGGAATAAAGCCAGATGGGGTTGTTTTTCTTGCTATCATAACAGCATGTTCCCATGCTGGAAATGTAGAAAAGGGTCTTGATTTTTTTAACAAAATGAAAAAAGACTATTCAATTCCACCCACAATGAAACATTATGCAGTAATGGTTGATCTTTATGGAAGATCAGGTCGTTTAGATGAAGCTTTAAGATTGATCAAAAACATGGAAATAGCTCCTGATTTTGTCATATGGGGTGCACTTTTTAGTGCTTGTAGAGCTCACAAGAACATAAAAATGGCAGAATATGCATCCGAGAAGCTTCTAGAACTTGAGCCTAAACATCCCGGAAGCTATGTGTTTCTTTCAAACGTGTATGCAGGAGTGGACAGGTGGCAAGATGTGGAAAAAGTGAGATCCAAAATGAAAAACAAAGGTGTGGTTAAAGATCCAGGGTGGAGTTATATTGAAATAAAGGGAAAAGTTACTAGTTTTGTAGCGGGTGATTGTGGTCATGATCTTTCAGATGAAATTCATTTGAAATTAAATGAGATTGTGAAAAGTGCAAGAGAACATGGGTACATGCCTGAAACTGAATGGGTGCTTCATAACATTGAAGAAGAAGAAAAGGAAGATGCTTTAGGGAGTCATAGTGAGAAATTGGCATTGGCATTTGCTCTTATTTGTAGTGGTGATAATGAGGTTATTAGGATTGTGAAAAACTTGAAAATTTGTGGGGATTGTCATTCTTTAATGAAGTATGCGAGTAAAATGACGGGGAGGGGTATTGTGGTGCGTGATATTAAACGGTTTCATCATTTTAAGGATGGGAGTTGTTCATGTCAAGATTATTGGTAATAATGTTAGTATCAAGCTCATACTATTCATGTGGTTGTGTAACTTTTTTGGCCAAAAAAATTATTCTTCTGACAACTTTTAACCTGATCTACACTGTTCTGCCTATGAGTATCATGTGAGATGTTGAGTGGGCTCACACTGACCTTACAACTAATACTTGTTAAAAAGTCAAAAGGACAATTTTTGGGGAATAGTAATTTACTTACTTTGCTCTTGTTATAAATATTGGCAATGTACTTTAGTTATTACCCATAATAGCAATGTACTTTATTATTATTTTTTTTTCCCTTTAGTAGCAATACACTTAGGTGTTGTTTGTTTTTTCGAAGAGAAATTGCGTGAAGTCTGCGGACCACCTTTGTAATTCTCTGCAGAAGAGGTGAAACAAACGGCTGCAACATGTAATAAAAAGTATGTTCGTTTTTTAATGTCTGCAGTAAGTTAAACTAATGCGTGAAGAGGTTTGAAGCAGTTGGTTTAGTGTTGCGCCACGCAGAACACGCGCATCAGTTTTTAAGTCAGAAGTCTTCTGAAAAACAAACAACTGCAAATGGCCAAGTGTTGTGGGTATGCTGCGCGGCGTAGCAATAAGTGGTTTTTTTTAAGAAAACAAACAACACCTTATTTCTTACCCATAGTAGCTTCATACTTACATTTTGCTACCAATATATTGTTATTATTAGTAAGAAAATGTAATTACATTGCTATTATATTTAAAGAGATGTAAATACGTTGCTTTTATGTGTTAGTTACCGATATATTGATATTATGAGTACAAAAATAAAGTGCATTGTTTATATTACAAAAATCAAGTTATAATGTCTTGTCTAAATCTTTTTGTAGAACAGCGTTAATAGTTGTAGCGTTACTTTATTGATAAAAAAAAAAAAGGAAGATGTATGGACATTAATCAGAATAGTGTACAACTTTTGCTGTATTAAAACTAAATTATTGGTCCAAAGAATTTACTTATATCATTGTCAAATAAGCAAAGCTGTAAAGTAGAAGATGCAAGGGGAAAGAGACGACATATGATTCATAAGTAGGGCCTTATTATGTTTTAAACTGTTGTTCTTTCTAGTAAAATTGATGTAATTGATGATTTTTTTTAAATAGCTTGATAAGAACTTGATTTATTTGCATCATTAATTACTGATTTACAATATTATATTGCCAAAAAAAATTATGATGATTATTGATAAATGAATAAGTAGATTAATAAAACATTACTAGAAAAATGTATTTCGAGTTTTCGATATAGTTAGAAAACCAAACACGTATTAATTTATTTTTTGAGAAAATGACCTGAAAATCATTTATTATAGTATTCATGGTTGAGTCCTTTTTTGTTTTTTTTTTTTTTTTTTTTTAATAAATAAAATCTACTAAATAAACATGTCGGCCAACCACGATTTTGGACCAAAACTAGTGAATGTGACCACGTTTATGTTGATTATTTGATTTATGTGATTTGGGGTGTTTCCATTTCTATTCTCAAGGTGTTAGATTAATCCTTAAGCAATTAGAATAAAACAACCAAATGATTAAAATGAAATATATATATCGATAAAAACAAAATTTTGTTAAACAAATACGTCATAACCCCCTCATACGATAACATAACTAAACGCCAAATTGCTCTAAAACAACTAAAAGCTACATTAATTTAACTTAATTTGTGACCACATTCAATTATGAACTAAATATATATACTTGATCGTATTTTAAACAAAATCATATAAAGATAATTTTTTTGAAGGGTTAATTTCTTGAAAGCCTTATATTTTTTTTTCATCTTTTCACTTAAAAGCCATAATTTTATTAATGTTTTTGAAAAAATCACTGACATTTTGAAACTTTTGCGTTCTAGTCATTCTTGAGGGTTTGTTTCTTACTACGAAAGGTTCATTTCTTGATAGGAGACTCTATTGATAATCTCCTCGTTGTGATAGTATGTATATAATATAAAGAATCATATTCAGTTGATAATAGTATCAATAAGTTTGAAACTACTGATGCAAAGAAAATATAATTTTCTTTTTATACATTTAGATACATATCTAACATCATTTATTGTTAAAACAATCTAAATCGTTAACATTTTGGAAAATAAATCCATTTTTTTTAAATAAGATTTAGAATATGAAATGATTAATTTCATAAAAGATCTAAATCTTTTATCTTTTTAGTTTAAACCAAAAAAATTTAATTTTTCCACTTAAAACTTTTTTTTTTTTTTTTTTTTCGATTATTCAGTTTGCATCTTAACTTCCGGTAAAAGGAAAAATAATATATATATATATATATATATATATATATATATATATATATATATATATATATATATATATATATATATATATATATATATATATATATATATATATATATATATTTGTAATAGTTGTAGTGTTTTCATAAGTTTTCCGGTTAACCATAAAATCATCTATAAAAACTTACATATTTTCCGAATAACCAATGAATTTAATTTTTTTCCTAGATGGGTATCGTTATATGGCTATATAATACCGGAAACTGTTTTGTGGGATGTTTGGTATATGATAATGTTTCTAGTTTGAGATAGTAAAGGCCATGGGTATATACACATGGTATCTTATGATAAAAGATGTAACATATGGTTTATGTAAAGTGAGACATCGGATGTTTTAATCACCCAAGATGAGAGTCTCGCGTTTCGTCAACCTTATTGGCTCCTTATTATCCCAGAAAGACTAAAAAATAATAATGGTAATAGTTATATATTGGAAAATCGAGAAACTTACAAGAATAGAAGATTAGAGAGCTATCATTTTTTTTGTGTGTTCGTGGAAAAAATTATAAGTGTTATAGTAGAGATATTATTATGGTATAGGCTTGATCGTGTGAGTTGTTTTTATTAAGGTATTATAGTATTGGGTTTGGGAATTCGAACGTTGGATATGTGAAAAAGAGAGAAATAAAGAGGTTGCATGCATGTTCAAATAAGGAAATGGGTTGGTGGCTTAGATTATGAACAAGATTTTCATGCAATTTTTTATATGCATGGGTATATATGGATGAGTTCCAACAAGCGTCTCTTTCTTCGTTCTATCAACAATATAATGTTGTAAATCCACCATATATATTTATTCAAATTCTTTTTGTCCCTAGGCGAGTTAGATCAAAATATGAATAACCTTAATAAGAACCCCATATGTTCAAACTTGCACCATAATTTTATCTCTCTAATAACACTCATGATGTATCCCATACACATAAAAGAACCATAAGATAACTCTCTTAACCCTTCCCCTTATTGAAACCATGCCAATGACCACTGGCGGATCTACATTGGATCCTGGGGTATCCCGATATGCCTCTCAAAAAAAATTTAATAGTATAAATTTTTCTGAAAAAATTTGTTTATTTTGCGTTCCTTAATATAAATGTGTTCCTGAAACTGAGTTTGGAAAATTGAAAAACCAAGAAATCGAACCCATTGGTTAGGAATACTTATTTACGTTGACTCTGGCTCTGCCACTATGCTAAGCGCACCTCCTCGTCTAATCCTATATACAATCATCACCTTAAGGATATTTTTTAAAATTTATTGAAATTTATATGAAACAAGTAAATTAGAAATAATTAAAATTAATAAAATAGTTATGTTGGAAGTTCATTATTAATTAAAAAAAATATAGAGAATAAGCAATTAAAATTTAGAAAATATCTTACTTACTTAGAAAAAGTCATACTTAACTTGCATTTGACGTATTTTAACCTTAATGGACTAATAATGCTAAGGCGTTAGTGATGTAAATATAAAAGCTAGTTGAGAAATTGGAGTTATTTAGGGTTAAAGTGGGAAATAAGAACTTGAATGGTTTGTTTTCCCAAAGTCTAAACTCGTGGCTTGAAATCCCCAACTCTCACATTCTCCTCTTTTAAAACAATTTGAGCTTGGAGAAGAGAAAGTGCCAAGATTTAAAGAGTTTTATCCCCAACTCTCACAATCTCTCCTCATAGGAAACAATTTGAGCTTGAAGAAGAAAACGTGTGACGATTTAGAGAGATTTAAGTAGATAGATCATCCGATACATTCTATGTTTCTATTAGTAAATCAAAGATTCAATGTAAGTAATCATCCATCTAGTTCTCTAACTTGAAAAATGGATATTTAGAAAAATGGCTTTCTGTATAGATTTTCCAATATGAACAAATAGATATCGAACGATAGTCATTACGAAACCAAGCATAACAAGTTTCGCTATATCACGTGACTATTGATTGAAACAAGAAATTGTCACGTGACAGCACTGAAGAAAGCAATTTGACGATTTTCGAGGAAGAACGATGACACAAAGCCGGAGCAATAGCAGTAAGCCTGCGATCATCTCGGAAGAACAACAGACCAACACACACACAAATACCAACACTGAGAGTATCGAAACCCTAGCTGAGAAGCCAGAGAAGGAACCCGAATTAATGGTGAAGAAACGAGTTCCAGATTGGCTCAACAATTCTATGTTGTCTTCTCCAGCCCCTGTCGTATCTCCACCGTCGAAATCACGATCCCAATCGCCGCCTCCGCCTTCTTCGTCACACCACGATCTCCTTGCCAGTTACACTTCCAAATCCTCCTCCGTTTATTCCTATAATTCGTCTACTGTGATTCAACCCCCTGTTCCGATTCCGCCTCCCACTTTTATCAGGCCCGAACCTCCGACTAAACCCGCACGCACTCCAAGGACGGATTTTAGGGATCCATTAACACGTAGCAGCGATAGTGATAATGACATTAGTTCTTCTGTCGAAGACGCTTCTCGCCAAACCAATCTAATACAAGCGGTTAGACCTCGTTTAATTCTTTACTTACAGAACCATCATCATTTCTTGCTTTTAATTTCTCGAAACTGTAAAATTATCGAAACTCTTAGTAGCATTTATAGTTGTTAATTGAGTTTCGCACCTAAGAACGATAAAGAGGATTACAAAATTAGTGATGATACGAGAAGCACATATTAATCGCAGTTTTATACTTTGTAAAATGCAGCTTTCGAGGAAGATTATAAACATGCGAGAACTGCGTCGACTTGCTTCAGAGGGGATTCCGGATAGTGCTGGCATTCGTTCAACTGTATGGAAGGTATGAAGAACTTGCTGCTTGTTTTCCTTTCTATGAAATGACCTAAATCATAATTCTATCTTGGATGGATTTGCTTTGTGTTTTCCTCTCAAATTAATCATGGTAGATTTGTGAGGCATAATTTGTTCTGCAAATATGAAGTGATCTCAACGTTCTTCTACACTTACCATTGTTCAATCTGGATTAAGAGGTTTAACTTTTAGCTCTTTTATGGTTTCAGCTGTTGTTAGCTTATCTTCCTTGTGATAAGGCGCTTTGGTCCTCAGAGTTAGCTAAGAAGAGGTCTCAATACAATCAATTTAAAGAGGATTTTTTGATGAATCCAGTAAGTTTTCTTAATGCAATCATCCATCTCACAATCCACATAATATGTTCTTCAAAGAGATGCTAAATATTTTCTAAAATTGCATTTGTTTGCACCAAATTCGAGTTGCTAAAAGTTTCTGTGGCTAGTCAGTCAGAAATCACAAGGAAACTGGAAGACTCTGCATCTCTTCAAAATGGTGAAAACACAAGTGAAGGCAAGGGTTTACTTCCAAGGTCAGAAATACCTCATGGAGAGCACCCTTTAAGCTTAGGGAAGACTAGCGTTTGGAATCAGTTCTTTCAGGTATAATTTCATAAAACATATATGTATATGTTATCAGGTCTAGATTGAAACATATCTCTCCCCATTAAGTCAAAAAGAAAGAGGCACTTAATGTCTATAACTTATGGAATTGTAGGATACTGAAATCATTGATCAGATAGATCGTGATGTGAAACGCACTCATCCAGACATCGATTTTTTCTGTGGTGACTCTGCTTCTTCAAAAGCCAATCAGGTAATTAGAAAAAAAAGTTACCCTCTCCTTTGATCCTTTTCATCTTACAGAAATTATGATAAAGATTTATGGCTAAGCAATTAATCTTTTACCCTTTTCAGGATTCTTTGAGAAATATACTGATGGTTTACGCAAAGCTGAATCCAGGGATAAGATATGTGCAAGGGATGAATGAAATATTGGCCCCTTTGTTCTATGTGTTCAAAAATGACCCTGATGAGGATTACTCTGTAAGTGTTGAGAGATATATCTGAAGGGCATACAACTGTTAGAAGTTTTATTTATTTATTTGTGCAGAGGAATGCTGAAGCAGACACATTCTTTTGTTTTGTGGAGTTATTAAGTGGGATTCGTGATAATTTTGTTCAGCAACTTGATAATAGTGTTGTTGGCATCCGTTCAACCATCTTAAAGCTGTCACTCCTCTTGAAGGAACATGATGAAGAGCTATGGAGACATCTTGACATCACCACAAAAGTAACAAATTCTTATTTGGTTTAATAAGGTGTTATTGGTAATATACAAATTTAGGCAATCATGACAATTCTGGGATTGTGTTGTTGGGTGTATGGCAGGTGAACCCACAATTCTATGCATTTAGATGGATCACTCTTCTGTTGACACAAGAATTCATTTTCACAGACAGTCTTCATATATGGGACACCCTGTTAAGCGACCCTGAAGGTCCACAAGTGAGTCAACTCAACTCAACTCACTCCTTGTATTGTATGTGAATTTGGTAATTAAGTAAATTGTAATGAGTGGGAATTGGCAGGAGACATTGTTACGCGTTTGTTGTGCGATGTTGATTCTTGTGAGGAGGCGTTTGCTTGCTGGTGATTTCACAGCCAATCTGAAGCTACTTCAGAGTTATCCATCAACGACAAATATCAGTCATTTGCTATATGTAGCCAACAAACTGCGCTCTCATCATCATCCCTGATTCCATACATTTTCTATACTTTTTCTTCTAGTCACACTGTGTAAATGGTACCCAATTGTACACCCAACCAAAAATACTATACAATTATCAATCAGGATACACGTTTTATTTTTTGCTTAATCAACTTAATTAGGAGAGATATATAATGATTCTTCTTTTTTTCACTTAACCATTAACACCTGTTTTTCAAGTGTGCTCTACCGTTTTACACCAAGAATCAAAACTTTTATTTTTATCCAAGCTGTTATTTTAAACTATGATTAAATGTTCCCAAAAAATTTATACAACTGTTTTCCGACTACGCTCAATCTCAAAAGTCCAATAATAATTGTTTCGTGGTTGACGTGTGTCAATAAGATTCATATATTTACCTATTAGAAAAATTGTTGCAAAATTGACTTGGATTATGATTCAAATAACACCTTCTAGCTTAGATGGATATTCTAAATATGTGGAATTTCTTATTTTATTACTTTGAATTGATCCTTTATTATTTGTTAGTTTGAATTTAGAGGGCAATTGGTTAAGCTTATAAAAATGAGGTTTTAACTTACTACCATATAAGTTAAAATGAATGTTTGGATAAAAAGCATTTTACAAATGGTTTATAGCAATGTGGAACGGAAGATAAGCTATTTTTGAAAAGTTATTTTTCTTAACTTATCAAAACTCATTATAACTTATAACTGCCACAAATCTTTAGGAAACATTTTTTTTTGGTCGTTTTGCCAAACACTAAAAAATATTTATCACCTTATAGCGTTTAAACATCATATAAGTTAATTCAAACATTTTTTAGAAAATTATGTTTTCATACTATTATAAGCTAATAAGTTAAAAAAATGTTTATCATTTTAAATAAAAACTCCCAAAACACCCTTTTGGTAGATATTATCATTATATTGTAGTTATCAGATATCTATGTATGTGATACCAATATACGAAAAATATAATTTCATGCATTATTTCTTTTCGTCTTTAAATCTTCGATCACTTTATCCTTGTCTCTTAATTTCTAAGGCAAAATGTATGCAGTCTGTGAACCATATTTGTATACCTCTGCAGTAGAAGAGGTGGACCAAACGTTTGGAGTCTGAAAAAAGAAGATTGTTTTTTTAACATCTGTGGGGGCTACTAAAATAAATTGAACTCTAAATAAACTGATTTTTTTAAATTTCAAAGTGATTTTTTAATATTTTTATGATTTGTTATAAATAATTAACGAATCTATATCAACTTTTATGTATTATTGTATAAAAAATAAAAATAAAAATGGTATAAATTAACATATATATTTGATAAAAACCAACTTTGGTTGCAAAGTTATTACTAAACATAATCAAAGAAATTGATACATAAATGGATGGAAATAAACTTCGGTTTTTTCAATTAAATCCATTAAAAACGTACCATAAATATTTTTTCGAGAAATTGACGATACTATATTAAATAATGTTTTACAAAATTTGGCAAAAACAATATAAGAATATATTATGATTTTTTTTTTCATATTTATATAAACAACTTAAACGACTATTGTTGTAATAAATCATTATTTATAAATTTGTCAAAAATATCATGTTTGTATCGTCAAACGTTTTTTTTTAAGTTTTGTAATTTTTTTTTCAAATTTTTTATCATTAATAAAGTTGGAAAAAAAATATAAATTAAAAAAAAATAAAGATATATATGTTTTTTAGGCTGTAAGATGTCTGAAGATGTTAGAAGATTCTGGTCCACATTTGTGCCAAAAAGAGGGTGCGCAGACATTTTTAGGTCTGCAGTCTTCAAACAAAACAAACAGTCTGTGAAAACTAATGTCTGTGCATTGTCTGCGTGGCACAAACAGAAAAGACCACGTAAATTTGCAGACAAAAAACAAACATTGTCTTAATCTTTCATTGACTCTCTTGATTAGTAGAGTTTTGGCATTCAATAATTGTTTTCTCTTTGAAAAAATGCAAATTTATTTTATGAATCACTCTACTGATTTCCTATGTAATATCTATTTATTGGGTCTAAGGTCATCTTAAGAGGTCTGGCTAAAACAAATGCTCTAACGTGAGAGTTGGAGAGAAACACTTAGATTAACGTTGTTTTCACATCCATTAGATCAAATTTAAGATCTAGTGTAACATCCCAAATTTTGAGTTCAAAATTTTCATTTTTAATTAATTGATTTATAAAACTTCCATAAGAAAACATAGTGAAGACATATCATTTCATAAAACTAATATCTCATGTCTGAAAACCAAACCATAATATAACAATGTCAGATTACAATTCCAAGAATCTCATAATGTGGAAATCCAACGTGTGTGTATGATATGCAGCTACCGCGCCAACTCTTTCCCCTTCGCTGAGAAGGTACCTGAAACAAAACTGAAAATTGTATGCACGAAGCTTAGTGAGTTCCCCCATCGTACCGCTGTGACAACCCGAAATTTCCATTCTGAACAAACCATGTCAAGCCAATAGAAGTTAGAACAGTTACAGTGAAATTTCAGACTTTGGGTATAAGTTTGAGTATTTTAGGTTTAGCACTTAAGAAGATATCAGGAGAGTGGATGCACTATGGTTTTGTCCAACACTGTTATTCCAATACTCTATGATATTAGAGTTCATTCCGAGAATAAAATATTTTCTGCCAAAAATCTCAGGTCATCAATAGACAGGTACCGATGCAAGATTTAGAGAAGATGGAGCTCGTTCAAGACTCATCTTTCATTTTGATTTATGCTTTAGTGTTTATCAAAATTTGACAGAACACACATGTATAATAATTATATTATTAATGCAATGGATGATGTTGTTGCTTGTTTACTACTTTTCATTGTTGTGATACTATACATGACGTCCTCCGCCCCAGAACGTTTCCGTCGTTCTTGGTTTTGGGTTGTGACAACCGCATACCATACAATCACATAACATACATATACTGTCAGGCATAACTGGGTTCCCGACCTACCCCTTCAGTCCTCTCGACCGGATACTGCCTAGCATACCTGGGTGCTGGCCTCCCCTTCGGTCCTCTCGACCAGATACAAGGGACTATTTCACCCCTCTACTACTACCACATAACATGTAACACATAATCATATTCTATCTAGCATGACAGGGTATGACTACCCCCTTCGGTCCTATCGACCGGAAATCTCGGGGACTATCTACCCTACTGCTACTAGCATATAACATCGTACCATACTAGCACATAACATATAAGGTAGTAGCAAACCTAGATAAATATTACAAAGACAATCATCTAACATACGACTCCTACTGGTGGGCCAACATTCTTGCCTTAGACCCATTTCTACTGGAAGGTAACTCACCTTGTAAGGCTAACTGCTGAAAAGCTTATTAGCAGATATCTGACTGCTGCTCCAGTGATCCTCCGGCTATAAATCCATAAAACACTTAATCAGACACTGATAAATACTCTTAGGGTAACATGACTATTTTACCCCTAACGAAGTCAAAGTCAAAGTCAACTTCCAGTTGACCTCACTCGTCGAGTTGGGCCGCCAACTCGTCGAGTCACTTGTCCTTCTTCACGCCCCTACTCGTCGAGTTTAGCAACGACTCGTCGAGTTCTACTTCTAAAACATCCACGAATGAACCTTCATCCGACTCACCGAGTTGTATGAACAACTCGTTGAGTTCATCCCCATCCAATGAACAAGTTGTTGGATTAGTGTCCAAGCCCGTAACTATATTTGGTAAGTATTTGACCCAGTTGTGCATGGTCCTTTTGGGTTGCCTTCACCATAGCAACTTGACAAGGTAATTTATAGAGAGAAAGAAGATATTATGATTTATTAATATATTATAAGAATAATATATTAAAAGAGAAATCATATTATTTGATTAATATTAGTCATAAATTAATTAGGAATTAATTTGGTGACTAAAAGAGATTAATTAAATAAAGGGGCATAAACTGTCAAATGTATGATAGTTAAGTTTTTGGGCTGGGAAACCTAATGGATTAAGGGGGAATGAAATTATGATGAAGGATCATCATATTTTCGTTCAAGGCCCCATTCCAGAAGGTTCCATGGGCTGTTTGGTGACTAAGTTGTCCATTAGGGTTTAGACTGAAACCCTAGCAGCCTACAATATAAATATGACCCTAGGGCTATGAAAATCGGCTACACTTGATCCCAAGAGAAACCCTAGGCCAATTTTAGCATCCCTCCTTCTCTCTCATAATTTTCTTCTTGCTAGTTGGTGTTTGTAAGCCATTAGAGGAGTTACACTTGTGACTCTAAGCTCAAGAAAGAAGATCAACAATCAAGCCAAAGATTCAAGCTCTTGTAATTGAGGTAATCTTCTAGATCTATTTAGTTGCATTAATTTTGTGATATGTATGCTAGATCTAGGGTTCAGAGTCTTGGATGAATGCATGTACAATTAGAGAAACCTAGATCCAAGCATTAGGGTTTACATGAGCACATAGGATGTTCTTGTGGTTTAAACCCATTAGTGGTATCAGAGCTTTGTTTGGTTTCTATTGTATTGATACCTTGTTTATTTGTTCATACTTTAAAATCGATTTTCATGCCTTCTGTCTGATGAACTCGACGAGTTCCAACATGGACTCGACGAGTTTAGTCGTCAGACAAATAGATTTTCGGGATTTTATGCTGTTTTGCTTAAGGATAATTGCCTAAATCGTTTTTGACTTATAAAATCTGAATTTTATTGTTTATTTATGATTATCCTTGCCAAAACTAAAGATAATTTCTAATTATTTGAATAATATTTTCCTTATATGATAACAGATGATTATTTAAATTAATTGGTAAATTATCTTAATCTTGATTAGGTCAAATCTAGATAATTATTAAATTAATTGTTTTATTTTTGAATTATTTGCTATTTGATCATTTGTGTTTTGAAAAGTTCAAAACTTTCCCTCAAGTCTTTAAATTTAAATTTTTTGATTAAAAGTTTAACTTTGAATTATTTAAATTTCAAACCCTTAGAATTTTATAAGTTTAAAATTCAACCTTATACTATTATATTATTACAAGATATATATATATATATATATATATATATATATATATATATATATATATATATATATATATATATATATATATATATATATATACTAGCCGTTTACCCGCGCTAAGCGTCGGGTGTCGGTTGTATTTCTGGAAATTAGTTTT